CCCAATCGGTCTTTCTGCCCTTGTTTAGTACATATGTCTTAGCCTAGCTTATTCTAAAATTAATTTCTATTCCTAACACTCGTATAAATTAGACAGCTATAAAAAAATAAAAAATAAAAATTCCTGGCTCACAAAACAAACATATCTCAGTCCTTAGTTCAGTTGCGTTTGTAGGTGTTCTAGTAAAGTATCTGTTGGGGAACGAAAACGGGTGTTTTGTCGGTCTTGTGAGGCAAAGGGGATCCAGTATGGTCCAGTTGTGGGGGTTTATTTTATAATTGTTCTTGAATGAAGAATTTGTGCAAAACGACGCGTGTTTCGCATTATCAAACCTTTGGATAATGCATTTTTCTGGCAATATTCTCCATTTAAGTTTGGAGTAGCTTCAGCTTACGGGTTTCATAATTTTTATCCAAGTGAGCAATAACATTACAAGCAAATGTTAATTCCTTCATCCAAAAAAGTTTAGAAGTAAATCATTCCGGTTTTTAGAAAATGTTCAGGATCCTAATGTAGATCCTGTATTACTTCTCAGCTTCTCCAACATAAAATTGGTAGAGTCGCTATTGGACATCGACAACTGCACAGTTGTCGTAGTTGATAAACATGATCAAATAGTATCCAAAAGGATCATGCGAACATTACAATGCAATTTCAACATTGGAATCACGTTCAGAAACTTTTATGTAAGTTATTTTCCCATATAATTATTTTGTATCAACATCAACTAAGTTTTTGCCTTGATTACCAACTGTAAATAAATATCTAACAATCCAGTTTTTTTACATTTCAGACAGAGCCTGATCAAAAACTGCAATGGACTATGTTAAACTGGGCACATCCCGGATGCGTAGGCAAGCTGGCTGATTTCTACCAGTAAGATTTTAGCTGCATCCAAATTAAAAATACAAAACTGGTATGTAACGCAACTGCTTACTGTTTTCAGAATAGATAACGACAATTTTAACCAATTTCGAGATAACTATAAGGAATGGTGGTTCAGATTAACCTGGAGTTTTTGCGAATCTTTTGCCAAACCTACAATGGAAGAAAATGGAAATCTCATCATTAACATGCGAGAATGGGCGAAAGACCATAATTTGGGTATTTACTATTGTTTAGCTTCCAGCCCAAAAAAGGGCAAAAGAAAGACAATTACACAACTAGAACCATCAAAAAGAAATTTCAAGAACAGAACCCGCAAGTTAACATTTAAAAATAAAAAAGGCATTAAGCAGCAAGGCGAACGCATGGAGATTCAGAAAGAAGATGAGGATTCAAATGAAACCGTGATATATGGAAACTTGTCGCCTACTGAATTAGACGAAAAAACTACAAAAATTGTGCAAAGAACAGGAGTATGTGAAAATTCAATGCAGTTATCAGAGAAAGAACCACTGATAAGGGAGTCAAAGACTGTTATAAAAATGGAAGTCGAAGATGATGAAGCTGACATATTTCTAAAATCTGTAACATCTAAAAGTGCTGTCGGAGATCTCATTCGCGAATCTGAACAATTTGTTGGTCGACTTTTAACTAACAAGCCTTTAAAGCTGGAAACGGACACTATCAACAATGCTGTAAGCGACAGCGACAACTTTCTAAAAGAAATAAGCAGTACAAAATATAATATTGTGGACAACAGTCATGTTATTCCAAATGACAAGTCCGGTTTATCTAACACACAGTCTGATGTAGATAAATTAATAGCCGAAGCATTGGAAATGGTCTCAAAGTGATAATTATTTTTCTGGTCGCTACTTTATATTTTTATACAACCAAAAAATGCTTTTAATAATTATATTATTGTTGATTTTTTATCACTTTCATTTTACATAATGCTATTGTTAATTTATTGTAAAGGTATAGTATTTGGGTACATTTAAATAAATAGCATTTAACAAATATAGTACTTTTATTTTCACGTTATTATGTACAATATTTGGCCTTATAATAAATAATTTATTTCAATATTACTTTATCACAGACTTATGTGCAGTAAGAGAGTCCTATGCACTATTGGTATTTTATTCATGATAAAATAATTTGTAGGATAATCCTAGTGCCCCTTCATAAATAGTACTTAAACCCACATAATAAAATAAATATATATACAAAGTATCTAAATGGTTCTATGTAAAATTTGAAATTAAATTTATTAAAAATACTTTTTAATTATTAGAAGAATTAAACCGAGAAAGTTTGATATTTACGATTGTTTCCCTACTAAATCTCTATACGGGATGTGAACAGTTATTAGATTCCCTCTCTACTGACCTGCCTTGTTCTGGTCTAGTTCAACTTCTTACAGAACTTTAGACGTCTCTATTCCCTGGACTACAAAAACAGTGTGACCCATGATGGATTTTCAAAAGATCGTTTTGATTCATTAGTGCATTGACAGTATAAAATATTCTTAGTTTACTCAAAGAATAACTCGTATAGTATAGAAGGAAGTCCATTTATTTTTGGACACTTGAATTTACAAGAAAAAGAATGTAAACAAATTGAATTTGAAGCGAATCCAAAATATTATCTTTTACATAACGAATATAGTCAGAGAAGGTGATCTTCAACGTTTGCTGAAATAAAAAGATTAAAAGCATCTAATAGAAACTGAAACTATTCTTGAAAAATAGACATTCGGTTGTAAATAACAATAAAGAAATTTCCTTCTTTTGCATAATTAATGAAGAATTTCTCGAATATGTAGTAGTTAAGAGCGGGGAATATCACCGACTACAAGAATGTAAACGGCCAGATGAAAAATATGCGTTTAACTGTTCCCCTAAGTATGGTTAAGTATTTCCCATCCCATTTTATATCTCAACAGCCAATATTTTGAATGATACTCAAAGGATGTACAAAGGCATTGTAACTATAAGAAAACCCCAAAATAATAATCATAATTCGTCCTTAACCAAATATAGGGAACTCGTTGTATTGTGACCTTTTTCATACACTTGAAGTTTTTTAAAGTAACTTTCTATAAGCTTGTAATCGTCTGGAGAGTGATTGAAAAGAAAATGTAATTGGCGAAGCTGTTTTAGATTATGCAAAAGCAGCTGCCGATGGCGATTATTTGACTTTCTCCAATAAGTCAGTGTTTTGTCGATTAAGGACAAGGTTTCGTTGCGTATGGTGGCCATGCATATGTTTTTATCTTTTTCAAGCTAGAATGAATCAATCATAATGGGATTTTCGTAAAGTTATACGGATTTACATTACCTGACTATGAAGACACACCGAGTACATCACGTGCAGTTTAGAAGACACATCCACATTGCTTAGTATAAATCCTAATAAATGTGGTACTGTAATGGGAATGTTTGAAGGATATACTCTACTCTCTTCTTTTCTGAAAGATTTTTAAACATGTAAAAGGTGACTGGATTTTTAATCGGTAAACATAAATAGAAACGTAAATATATACAATGTCCGAAAGGGCATTGTTTCGTCACTAATTTGAGGAAACAAAGTTAAAAAACAAAAAATATCCGAATTTGCGGTAAATATGTTCAAGAGTTGGAACGGAAAACAAAATAAAAAATCTAACTTTAACACTCGGTAAAACGAAGCTCTTGTGAAATGATGTTCATATAAATGTTCCTACTATTTTTTGACTTCTAACACTTCTTGCATTTTTTCGCTTTAACATTGAATCATTCTGTATATCACATATTGCAATTAAAGCCAAATTAAGAGATCATGCTAAATTCTCTAAGGAAATTCAAAAGTATATTTTTAGCTGCGCCCAGCATCTAACGTGGCATATGGAAATCACACACTGAACATTTGCACATTTCATATAAAATATTTTTACCTGTTGGTAGGTATGAATAAAATTGTAGGAAATTCTTCCATAGTATATTCCCATGGGAGAATATTTATATCACCATCTATACGTGCAAACTGCAGATTATCCACAAAAGATAGTTTTCTGGCTAGTGTAAGAAACACATACGATATGCCGTTGCAATAGGAGCATTGTTTTGAGTAGTACATCAATACTGTGGCCTAAAAGATGGAACGGTCGAAATTTTATGTAATATTTACAATATTTAGGGTAATTTTCGCATCAACCAAATCACTTATTTAGTCTAGATACAATTAAATACATACAAATTTCATCAACGTATTAATACTTTTAAAGCCTCACTGCAGCCCTAGAAATTTGATCTGAGTTAAATCGAAATAAAGGTGTTAATCATCATCATTTTCAAGATATTCTAATGGGAATTTCTCCCCAGTTCTTCACGTGCGTCTTTGTTGCAAGTTGCAAGTTTTAGACGCATATTGGTGGCAATATTTTATGCCAAATGTAAAATTAGTGTCGTTCTACTGTGAAGAGAATCTTGTGTGAGTGTCCCTATACAAATTATACACATATTCTTCTCCAAACAAAAGTGCTTCTCTGTGCACTTCCGTTTTGATGCTTATAGCTTTCTCGTGGTCTTGTGAATAGCATCCCAAAAGTGGTTCTCGTCCAACTGATTATATTTCGTCCTTTTCCCAAATTTAACACCAAAAATTTTATTTTTGCGAAAGAATTGGCGATCGTCAGACTGTATGTAGTCCAACATCATTTCTTTATGCGGATCTTTTGCAACATTTAATCCACTGAAGGGAATCAGTTTTTGTAATATTATTAGGTGTTAGGGAGTTTCTGCGATATCGATAATAATAATATTTTATCTTTACTTCCTGATTGTTTTTAATAACTATAGTTGGAGAGGATGAATGAACTAACATTCAGTACTCTTTGATTTCCGAATTATTTCTAGTCTATTGGTAAAATTTATCGCATTAGGAGTATCAACTTTTATTGCATAATCCTTTTAGATTTTTTTAAGCAAAGTATAATTTTCTGGAGGCAAGTCGCAGAAAAATAAATTAAACTATTTTTCTTGGACCAACGTTTCGGCTTCATTTAAGTTATCATCGGGGCTCTAAAAAACAATATAGTGGTTTCTGTCATAAAATATTACTAATTAATTAATAACATCGAACCACTGACTAATTGAAAACATTGAATTAGACCTTTGAATTAATTTTTTATATTAATAATAAATAAACAAATGTAAAAGCAAAGAGTGAACAACATTTTCTTTTCAGGTATACTTAGTTTAAGCTTCTCACATACGTTTAAGCTTCTCACATAGTAAGGAAAAACCAAATCAGTTCAATACACCTGCCTCTGGTAGCATGTTCCCGACCTTATTCTACGGCAGAAATACTGTAAGTGACCTTATTTATGATTGCGTCTCTCTATCAGGCCAAAGATTGTTTGTTAACTGTGTTTTCCTTATATTACCGTTAAATTAATATGCGTTTTTGTCCTTTGTTCCTTCTACTTAATTTTACCTTTGTTTCGGTTCCTTTTATATTAATGACAACTAGCTTTTATTATATTTTAAGACTGACACCACTCCGTTTTAGAGCCTCGATGATGGCTTAATAAAGCCGAAAAGTTCGCCCAATATTTTTTTTAACCCAAGCACCGAAATTCACATCTATTACCAATTACCTTAACGGTCACCACGAACCTACAACTATATATTTTGTTCATCAAATTAGAAAAAATCGTGTTTAAATCAAAGGTACAGACGTATTATAGGAGACTTGAAAAGTTCTATAAAATCTACAAATCAACTTTGTTTCATCTACCCAAAAAATGTGATTTTTGGACGCCAATCGATTTTAATGGCTAAATAACTAAACATTACAACTTACCTTATTCTGTTGTTGAATAGTATCCAAAAAGTTCGTACTATCGATTTCTTCCACATAGACGGTAAAAGTATCTGCATTATCCTCTGTTCTTATGCGATAGCTTGGTGTGTAATTGTGAACAACATTTACACTTGATTTCATCGACCTAGTCAAAGTGTTATTTGAGAAACGTTGTACAAATCTCCTCAAGTTTGTGCTGTTGATTCGACCTTGCATTATATAGTGAGTTTCCAACTGCAATTAATTCAAGTTGCATTTTCAGAAGCACTTATTAGGGAATATTTTCTTACACTTTCGTCCAAAATAACAACAGCGCTAGAATCGCTTTTAGTTGATAGATCGATTCCCAATCGTTCAGCGAACATGTAGTAACGCAAACTATCCAAAGCAATAAAATTCAAACTGCCATTTACTTTATCACAACCCAGCGTGGATATGTCGATTTGGTCAGTGTTTTCAATATTGCTTTCAACAAAAATAGCTTTAGTTAGTTCTTCTGCTAACAGAAAAGTTCTACACTTGTCTCTTCTAAGAAGCTTTCGCAGATTCTGCATGGATTTAGGATCAGAATCTGAATAACAACCATTAATTCCCACAGTCGATCTAAAACAGCTCGTATACCTTGACGCCACATTGAAGTAGGGTACAACTCAGATTCCCTTAAAGCATTCTTAAACTTGCCGCTTTTAATCGGAACGTCAGGAAACTTCTCTGCTATTAAACCTTGGCAAGTAAAAGGCTCTCTCACGCCTAAATTAATTGAGTTACAATCGACCTGTTTATTTCCAATAGTCAGCTTGTTTGAGCTGGAATTGACAAAAGGAGCACTGATGCTAAGAGACCACACATCATTTAGCTTAGCAGGGGTTGACTTCACTTGACACATCCTTTTCAACTTCTGGTATTCCAATAAGTTTCCTGAACATTACATTAATTCTAAACTCACAGTTCTAAAGCGCAAGATGAAACAAAAATACTAACTTGATCTTTTGGTTGCCATATCGTAATTTAGTCCCCAGTCGTCGCAGTTTTTATACTCATGAGCTACTTCTTGGAGCTAAGAACCATATAAATTAACCTAGTTAGAAACTGTACCCTCGCTGAGCAAACCTACCATCATGTAATAGTCGTTTGCGGAATGCAAAGGATTCTTTGCCGTGAATAAAATTAGAGAAGGTCCGGGTTGTAGAACGTCAGATAGTAAGGAACTCTTGGAACCAGATGGGGCCAACCACGAACTGGGCGATTCGCTCGATTTGATGATCCAATTTAGAATTGGTGCAACCTTCCAATCTCCTGGTTCAATATCTAAAACCTTTTCGCAACACCGTATAAAATCAGCATTAATGAATACGATAGGCGACAGCCATTATCTAATTAGATTTCAATATGCAGCCGGAACATTGTGAATGAGTTTGTAATTAAAACAAAGACAATGGAAATCCGGTTAGATCATCTCCATGAATGAGCAAATGGTGCAAACTGATCACTTACCCTGACTTGATTCCACAGGTAGAGTGAGAGTTTGTTTTGTGAAACTTTAACTGGTTTCACGTAGAACGTGATTCTGCCTTCATAGTCGCTCTCTAAATATTTTAAGGCAATTGTATAATAAACTGAAAATTCCCTGCTTTTTGGCAAAGCGTTTAATTCCGCAACAACAAAGGCCTGAAAATATTTTCATTTACTCTTAGGTTTTTCAAAAACGAATTGATGAATTTTAAAGCAAATTCTCGTACCTCTTCAAAGTTCAAGTTAGTATCACTAATTTTTTTTAATGGCTTCATCAACTTATATAAAAAGCTGATCATATGAGGAGCACTGATTGGCCCATTGTATTTTATGCCAGGGCCAAAGCATGGGTATACTATTAGAACTGGCCATCTACAAATACAGTTTTATTTAAATTTAATTTAGATAAAATAAAATTTAATTTATATGTATATTGGTGTTGAGAAAAACAAGTTGGCTAGAAATAACGAGTTATATTGAGAGTTAAGACTAAGAGAATAAACAATGAAAAGAGTTGTATACCGACGTTATAGCGTATAAACCGATGCCTAAAATTGCTTGTTAACAGTATTAAGTATTGTTTTTCGCGTTATTTATGCAGCGGTTTGCCCTAAAAGTATGAAATTAGGCATTCTTAAATAACAACAATTGAAACCAATAAAAAATGTTCAATTTTTGGTCTTAGATTCAAAATTTTGGGCAAGCTTTAGATGTTATAAAACCATAATCATCTGCTAACATTAGGTGAGATACATAGAAGAGCACCAGCAGAAGTAATATTTGTGTTCAGAGTGGTAAATCCAGTATAGTTCAAAATGCAAAATAGTATAGAAATGATAATTCGAAGCGAATCGAAATATACAGGGTGTCCCACGGTCAGCGTCCAATAGAAAATTTCGGGAAGTAATGCGATTTGAATCCCGCAAATTTGGCTAATGGGGTTTTCGGAGACGCTCTTTTCAGTTGAAATAACAGCGACATTATGCGACTTTCGGTTGTACCAGAGGTCGTCTCAAAACTGCTTATTTTAAATGAAACATCCAAATGCCTGTGTGGGAGATGCAAATTTTTAAGTAAGCGGGCGCAATTACTGAGACCGTCAATTTTGTGAGTCACATTTACATCCGCTGACAAAAATCAGGTTCCGGATGGATTTTTCTTAATCTTTCCACGTCTATAGGGTCAAGTATATACTAAAGATGGTAAAAGATGCAAATGCCTGCCTGCTTTAGTCTGGAAGATGTGAATTTTTAAGTAAGCGAGCACAAATATTTTATTTCCCAAAAATTCAGGTTCACGACTTTTTTCCAATAAAATATTCCGATTTTCTTCTCCAAAAATGCATTACATATTAATATGTTAGATGCACCTGTTTAGTATGAGATGGAAACAACGTTTACACAATTATCAGATAAAGTGTATCAGTATTACAAACAGTCAATTTTCAACAAAAAAAAACAAACCATCAATTTTCACAAAAACAGTCAAGCGGATCGTAATTCTGACGCCATATTAGGCTTTTAGGGGCGATTTTAGCGAAAAAAATACTGCTTTTAACCTAAAGACAAAACTAAACCAGCATCATGTCAATGGGGATTTTTACAAAAACACTTTTCGGTTAAGGGCAGCACATTTTTTACGTAAAATCTTTTAATATGATGCAAATTTTATGCTCAATTTTTTCCAAAGCCTGGGATAATTTTCAAGCGAGCGACGGTTAAAATGTTGCTCTGAAAGTGACTTTCTGGCATTTATTTATTTCATTTCTTCTCTAATATTTCAAAGCCAAAACCTAGTCAATGTTCTAGTTTTACTGGATTCAATTTTTTTGTTCCGAGCAGATTATTGCTTGAGACAATTTTTGAGTCAAAACTGTTACTTTTCTTGAAAACCGTTTATTATATTGAAATTCTGACTCGTCGTTTTAGGGCGATCTTAGCTGAAAACGAGTACCATGTGAATGGGAGATTTTTCAGGAAGAAATATTTTTACATTTTTTTTAATTAACCGTTGGAAAAATTGTATTCACCAATTTTATTTATCAATTTTAAAAACCGTTTTTTAGTTTTGAATTATAAAGTTTACGGATTCAAAGATAATTTTTGAAGCTGATTAACAATATGCATTCATTTTATATATTTAATATCAACTTTCAGGATGTACTCTGAAGTACTCTAAAAGTTATTCAATTCAAACTGATTTTTAGAATCGTAGTTTATAGGCTTATATCCTTGTAGGGACACTCTGAAGAATTATTTTGACGTCCTGTATAACCGTGTTATTTCATGAAATAATATTGATATGTACAGTTTATTTATTTTTCCAATGTTTGTGAAAAAAGTGTAAATGAGGCCGCATATTTTGAGGGCATAATACATATAGAATTGAAGAAAGACTCACCTGTACACTTTATTATATTGATTTCTACATTCACTTTGTGGCTGCCAACAATTTACTGCGGTAAATACCACATAATCTTTCATATAGTTGGCAGCAGCCAGGAATTCCTTCCTTGCAGCTTGACTTTGGGCATCCCATGGTGCATAAAACATTATGAACGAAAACTCGAAATTCCTTGCATAATCGATTGCTGCTGATAACTCTCCTTTATAGAAATCTTTTACTAGCGCATTTTTGGATAGAAATGGAGTGGCTGCGGCTGCCTTGGAAACTTTGGGTGGACTGCTAATAATTAGTAGATACATACATTTCTGAATTTAATAGAGGAAATTACGAGAGAGAAACCACCCTTGGAAGTACGCGATCACTTCGGAGGAATTTATGGGAACATTTTTTCTTATTTCTTAGACAACCAAAGACTGAACTTCTACTACATGACCTCCCTGACTTGAAAGCTGAATCCGCCCTTGGTTGCACCGGCTTATTTTAGCGTAAAGATTTATGTAAATCAAACTTATTTGAATCAATCTATCGGTAAGGAAGTAGAAAAAGGAAACCAATCAGGGCCACCAATTTTTCCAGATTAAAATCCTCTTGAATTTTTCTTGTAAGGACATTTGCAGTCCATGTCTTACAAAACGCCAGGACAAAACCAAAATATTTTAGGACAGCAAGAGGCACTAAATACTTTGCTTTGAGAGGCACTTTGGCTTGAGAATTCAAACAATTTATAAAAGATAAATTTCCTTCTGTTAGTCTATTTAATCAACTTAAAATTTCTCAACTAGAAAGGACTTTAAAACATTGTGTCAGTTACAGCTTGAATTATGAGTCAGTTTACATACAAAAATAGTTTAAGTTTTAAAACCCAATTATAAATTCAAATCAATCGCCAATAATTTCACACTAAAAAATGTCAAAGTATAAATTAAAATAACTCTTTGAGAATTTCAGAATTCCAACTGTGGCAGACAATTGTTCGTAGAAGATAAGTAATTTTTTCGACAAGTGAGCAGATTTTTTGCGTCCAAACCAGTGTCATGCTCGAGGAGCTCAGCACAACTTCCACATTAAACACTCCAATGCGTTTGTTGTGCCGAGCCCTTCGGGCACGACACTGATTTTAGACCAAAAAGTGATCAATCGACAAGTGTACAGTGTTTTTTACGTCCAAACCAGTGCGTGCTCGAAGAGCTCGGCACAACTTCAACATTAAACACTCTCTAATGCGCTTGTTGTGCCGAAAATTTACTCAACTCGAAAACTAGTAGTCTTCAGAACTGCAACAACATATGCCCATTCAACACCAAAAGAGACATACTTTTAAATATGTTCATATAAATTTAATCATTTATACGCCAGAAAAAAAATCAGTTTTTTGTTCATTCCTAGGCCAGAAATCTTTCAAAAACGGGACGTAACTTCGATAACTATTGGAATCGCTCGGGCTCGAAACGATGTGCGATTGGCAAAAACAACAAAAAACTGGAACAAACGCATTTTTTTCCTGGAACAAACGCATATAACTCGGTAAGTATGCTTTTTAGGCAACAAATGTATCCATAAATTTGTTCGTTATGATATTTTCTTCAAGATGGAATGAGTCCGATATACGTAGATTTGAAATAGTCGCATTAAAATGCTCGACAGTGCAAAAAAGTAGTTAAAAAACAAGATAATTTTAAATTATTTGTGCCAATGAAAAAATAAGCCATTCACGCCATACATTTCCAAAAAAGTACCTGACTGCAATACAAAACGAGAGCCGCAAGGCCCTTTAATATCGGACGGACAGTTTTTGCATAATGCCATATTTAAATAATTACTTGAAAAAAATACCTTTTTTTAAATTTTATGCCAGGCTCAGTTATTTTTAGTATTATAATTTTGGCTTTTAAATAAATAAGCCTGTGAAGCGGGATTTGCGAGTGGGAACAAATCGGAGTACTATTTTTCAATACTTTCCCAGTAAAAGTGATGTAATTTGTCTAAAAACGATGTCTTCTAAAGCGAAACCCATCAGGAAAACCGACTTATTGTTTAATCTTAATCCAGTACTTTTAAAGTTCAAGCAGCTTGTCTCAGCTTATAAGTTGATTTGAAATTTAGCTAGTCTAGTACCTAATCCACGAGCATAGTCAAAATTGAAAACCGAATCTAAAATTGCTCTGTTTCAGTTCTCCAAAAATCGTTTTCTCTTGACCTGTTTAGTACGAAACGAAGAAATACGTATAGGTACAGATATTATTGCGATGTAAATGAAGATAAAGTTAGTACATAGTATTACCCAGTATTTCCTACAAAAAGGAGAATGCATCAGAAATCTGGGGGGGTGGTTTCTCCTTCGGGAAAATATAATCTTTTGCTACTTACTCATTTGTCAGGGCAGAAATGGCCATCATTAGGAGGCAGAAAATAATAAGCTCCCGAATTAAATTTAACATTTTAGCCATGTACTCTTTTAAAGGGTCGTTTAAACCAGTGACTTCTCTATCATATGGGACATTAACACTCTGATCCTGCTGTTCATTCTTATCACCAGATTTGTGACGATTTGAACTCAAGATTCCGGCCCTTACAAGGGACTTACGTAGCCAATTCATGCCCAGCGTTACTCATTAGACACAGCACAGTCGTTTACATCCTTTTTGACTTTAAATGTTTGGCGAATTGGTTAATTAACTAATTCGATTGAAAGATTTACTTTTCCAAAATATGTTAACCTAAAACTAAAACACACGTCATTTAAATATGTGTCAAATAAATTCATGCGACCAATGGAATGGAGGAATTTGGATTCCTTGTGTTGCTGGTGACAGTTGTCGAAGTTTTAGGCAACTAGTTATACAGCTAAAAGTTTTTGTTTTTTGCAATGTTTTGTTGGAAATTGAGGTGGTTGGGAGAATAAAGGTTGTGAGGAGTGAGGAGAGTGAAAATGAGGGAAAATAAATGAATAAAAGATTGACGGAAGGGTTCTGATAAAAGTCCCGTTTGATTTTGTTGGTGGTGCGCTCTGCTGGAATCAAGATCAAGCGCGATAAGAGCCAAAAGACGTATTTACAATACAGGAAAGTGCTTTTCTACAATATATTTTGTATCTATCTAATCAAATACCTTTGAAATGGCAGTGCCTTATTTTTTCCCATAGTGTAAGTTGACGTTCCGTAAAAATGAATGAAGTGTAGTGATTTCGCGAACGTAAACATTAGAAAAACAATAACGTTAATGGTTAAACAATAAAGAAGGCTGTGAAAACATAGGAATCACCATTAAATGTCCTGTGCGAACGTTTGTTTTAAACATGTTCAATGTACCGCCAAAGTTTTATCAGTTGTGTCGATTGTGCTTATCGGAAGATAACAGTGAGAGATCAGCGTTATCAATTTTTGATAAGGACAAGGACATTCCCAGGAAGATCCTCTGTTGCCTGTCAATTTCGGTAAGATGATTCATCTTGTACGATAAGTCATGATTCTGTTTTTAGTTCTTATCTTAACCTAAAACCAGTAGACTGTTGAAAGGAAATAAGAGCATAACAAACTTGATATCCGTTTCTGTCTTTTGTTTTTGAATCTGTTAAACATGGTGATATTCGAGCTGCATCGCCGCCTATTTATAGACGCATTTTAATGACATAAATAATTCTGGTTCCTTTTTTTTGTTTTAAAACATCTGCCTCGCGTGGGCCAGCTAGGATGCATTGTAATCTCTGATTACAGTGGTCCAAATAAAAATCGTAATCGTTCTTTGGGCTCGCACCTGACGTAAATCAACTGAGATACTGGAAATAGAAAGTTTGGCAAGATACATTACGAGATAAGATGGTTCTAAAATGATAACACGTTCGTTCTTTGTGTTGTAGCAGCGAGTTCTGCCGCTCACCTCTCGGGTCGGTATTAAAATTCCCAGGACCGGTTTTGTTATCAGTTTATTATAATAATGTTTGTTGTTGCGGTATTGCCGAGTCGCCATAACACAATACATAATAGAACTCGGAATTCGGCTGTTGCTAAATCATATTATAAGTTCCAGCTCGATTTATATGTATATTATTTCGTATCAGTTTTAATAGCCTGCCAGCTAATTATAGAATAATAAGTACGTATGCATAACCTGGGTAATTGCTTGATTTATAATGATAATAGTCCATATTACGTTTTATTACTGGGTGTTATTAATTATTCTGACTGATAAGCAATTATACCTACAACGCACTGCTATTTTCGCAGAACGTTCGAATTGTTAATTGGAATGTCTTTAGACCAACGTTTTTTTCCACCATATAACACTCGTAACTTTAATACAGGTTGGCCTAAATCATTTACGTTTGAAAACAGCGTCAGAACTAATGAGATTTTTGATTAGGGCTTTGGAAACTGATGCTTCTGTATAGTTATAGTAAGTGTAAGTCGATTGTCATATACCTACAGAGAATGCTTCAGGGGACTATTTACTATTGAAAATCAAAGGTAGCTTGATATAAAACGTTGCAACTCAACCATTAGAGAGATATCGCGTTGCATTATAAAAGAACGGCAATTGTGAAGATGTGGGACTTTTGCAATACCGTCTTAACAACGAGGCCTCCGTGCTGAAATCTAGAAGCTTGATGACGTCAGACAACGTAGGCCAGTCCAGTTTCTTCCAACCCCCAAGTTCTTCTGGATGAAATAAACGTGTAAAAGTTTTGTTTTTCGTAAAAACTCCCGATTCTTTACGTTAAGTGATCGAGATGGCCTATTTTGATCCTCCTCTTCCAGTTGATCTGTATTCAAAAACTCTAAATAAACTTCGGCTTTAAACCGGCGCGACAGCACAAATCGGAACCAGCAGAAAAAAACTTCATTTCATTTATCGAGACATTTGAGGCTAAAAATGTTAAAAGTTTTCCTGGGACTTAATTTGAAACTTAATTATAAACTGAGTAACACTGTGTTGAGTTGCGCTTTCGAGTTGTTGCCGCTCTCTGAGTTAATGAGTTTTAACTCATTGGTTAATGGGTTATCTCATGGTCAATGACGGAATTTTAACATCTAACAAAAAAGCCATCAACATATTGCTTTTTGGTCTAAAATGGGAAAATCCGGAAATTTTGAAGAAACTTAAAAAAATTCAGAGCGAAGAGGGTGACGAGTTTTCCAAATATTGATTATATATGCTTTTGCTTTCTCTGGTCGTTTTTTGAGAAACACGATAACTTTGTTTCGATTTTGTACCAAATTCAAAGGTAAAACGGGTATTCGAAAAAGGCGATAACGAAGATCAGACTGTAAAGACGACGACTTTTCTTGGAAATCCATCTTTTAACTTTTTTGCATAAAAGAGTCTTTTTTGCCAGTTCTTTACAGTCAAACGTTAGGAAAAAACGCGCTGTTCTGTTTAGAGAGAGTTTTGCTTACAAATATTGACCTAAAAGTGAAAAAATCTAGAAAAAATGATTAGGGTTTTTTCTAGCAAAATCAATTTTGTCATTTTTGGCTGCAAAAGCCCCATTACTTAAGTATTGTCAGAAAAGAAGAAAATTATGTTTATTAAGCTTCTGATTAAAATCTTAGTTTTTGCGAAAACGTTAATAGTTTTCGGGAAAAAACGGGATACTTAAATTGATTTTTGTTTTTGTCCCGAATTCGATTCCGAAAAAAGTTTTTGTAAATTTCCTACAAAGCTATACCTAAATATGTCTTGTAATTTTTAGAGTAAAATACACCCAGATCATCAGTATTTTTAAGTAAAACTGTACAAAATAGAGCGTATTGAGTGGAAAGTAAAGCAAAAAAAAACAGTCAAAACTAAAAAACCAAATTTTTTTAACAATCTCTACAGTCTTAAGAGGAACGGAAGTGATGAGTTTTCCAAATAATTTATTATAAACTTTCGCTTATTCAGTTTGTTTTTCGATACAAAATTATTTGATTTTTGCCCCAAATTCGAAGCTGGAAAGGGATTTCAAAACTTTACAAAGTGACTAAGGAGGCGAGTGTATTTTTAAGGGAATTTTTTGAAAATTGCATTTAGTACAAAAGAGTGACTTTGCTAAGACTAGATCTCAGTTTAGCTTTCAGGAAAGTTCAGAGTTTACTCCTTTTTTGTGTTTTTTTAGCGAATTTCACTTAAGTGAATAGGTATATAATTTATACCTTTTATTTCAAAAAACACTTGCGAACTTTTGAAATGCGTTTTCCGAAAACCACTTATTTATGCACGAAAATGATTGGTGCTATTTGCTGCTAAATCGTGTTTTAGGGATCAACAATTCATAACTACACATGCAAAATTGTCGGTAAATATATAATACTTGATAGTGTTTGGATCGTTTCGAATCAGGATTTTCTTCTGGGTAATGGTGGAAAGTTCGTAAGTAAAGAGTAGTAAAATTCGTTTTTTATTGTAAAATTTGATGACATTGAGATTTTACTAATAGCAAGAAAATCTGGAAAATAAATTAAGTAAGTAATGCATGATTTTAAATAAACTCATTTCGTATTCTTGTTACCAGTTTTACTAGTCGTAATTTTCACCCTCTAAAATTATCCATACAATTAATTTGCTGTTTTTCTGCTAATTTCTGTTGGGATCAGTCCGTTTTTTCTAGACCTGAGAATTACGGATATTAAGTATGTGTTTAACAGCGTCGTTTATAAAAAAATAATTTATATTAGATATACATTTCAAAAATTTAAGACACTAACAGAGCACTGATTTCAAAAACAAAATACTGTTAGGGATGTATCTACATAAGTATTATAAAAACGTTTAGTTTTTTATGTAGAATTTTAAAAGCAAAAAGAAAATTTAAAAAAATAGATGGGAAAAGCTCGAATCGTTATTTTTAGATGTAATTTTATGCGGTGACTTGAAGAAACAGTTAATTAAGACGCACTTATCATACAAAGTGATGTTCCGCTTTGGCAGTGGCAGTGGCGTGCGTACATTGATTATCCGGAGCAATGCAACGGGTTTATTTTTTTAAATGATAAACCGTACATTGCAAATCGACAACGCAAGTAAGCTTTGCTTTTGATTTTATTGGTTTTGGAAAGAAAATATAATTGTTCTAATTTCCTTGCAAAATATCCAGGACATTCCATGCAGACACGCCACTGCTTAAATATATCGCTTTTTATTGAGTGTTCCAAAAATTTAATAATACTGAAATATTCCAAAAAAGGCCAAACCCGAAATTTCGTAAGGATGGTTACTTTTAGTCTGGAAATTTATTTTTCAAGTCAAGAATCACATCGTTGCATTAAGCAGCATGTCTGCTTTATGAGCTCTTTTCTGAGTTAAGTTGTTTAATTGTTGCATTCATATTTTGCAGAAATCATGCGAAATGTGTACTCTAGTTGAAACAATTCGAATTATTCGGAAGTTTATCCAGTTTTTCATTTAACTTGACTTATTCGGAATAAAATTCGAAAGTAAATGTGAATTTTGCAAGGCCACTTTCGTTTTGTTCTGTTGTATTTTTCTGATCCCAACAGGAAATCAATGCCGGTATATGAAACAATAGATTCAGCGCAATTTCAAGCGGGGCACATTAGAGGCAATATTTTTGATCAAAACCTATTAGTTATGAAGTTATGAAGTTCCTTAATTGCAACACTTTTGCCTTACATCCATTAAATCAGGGTCAAAGAATAGGAAGGAAATGGGAAATGGTAATTAAGAATTCAGAAGTTTTAATGCAATGCCTTAAATATTCAATAAAAAGTAAATTGGGGGAATAAAGAGGGCACGAAAAACGAATTTCGGCTTAAAATAGCATCGGTCCCGCTCTGCACGAAACCATCATAATGTCTGTATTTCAGACCTAAAGGTTTTAATAAAATGTAGAATGACTTCTTCAACCATTTGCTTTAAGAATTTATTTGGTTGTTGTTCGACGGTCGGTATTTAAGTATAGAGTTAATATTTGATCAATAATCAAGCACACGTTATCGAAATAGTCTAAACCACAATGTAGACACTTGAATAAAATTCACTAGAATAGTTTAAAAGCGTCAGTATTTTAAAGGTTGGGTTGGGTTTTTAGGTAATTTTCTTCTAAGAATAGTGAAAGGAGATCTTAATTACCACTCATATAATAAATATTTATTGCCTTAGTTCTAACTAAAGCCCATGTTATAAATAATTAGCATTAAAAAACCGAGCAGTTTTGTATTCAAAACTTTGTGTCTTCAAAGGATGCGATTCGATTGTAACAGGAGATATAAAAGTAACGAAGTCGAAACCCTATTCGTCTTTATTTACATTCACTTGATGTATTTAGAACATACAATAAATAAGTATTTGGTTTTAAATTGGATAACGATATTTTGAAGAGGCACAAAATGTACTGTTGAAACTTACCATTTCTACTATTAAACCAGAACGATTTAACGAAATGTCGGAATTTTCCAAATTTAAAATTAATGCAACTCACTTGGTATTTTTGTCGTT